AGCATTTGACGGCATTGTTCTTGCATGACTGCTTATGCTTCCTGGTTAACAGCAGCTAATGAGCACAACCAGGGTGCCCCTTATAATCGCGTATTGTTTGCTGCTCATCTGCGATCACTCGTCGTCCATCACAAGCAGTCGCGCGACCAGTCACTGAGATCCACTGCACAGTGTTTTCCCGCAAACTGTTCTATCTTCCACTGTATCAGTAGAGTTGGCCTTCTGCTGACACTAATTTATCTGATAATCCATCCATGGTTGATTATCGTGACCTCATCAATAATAGTGCTTCACGAGTGAACGGGACCTCAATAAGCCTATGCGATTCCTTCAAATCACCAAAAATTGCGTCGCACTTGAAAATGAGGTAGCAATTTCGAACTGTCGTCATCGACTGAAGTTCAGCGCATCATTTCAACGTTGAATTCCTCGCCCGAGATCGTCCAACTCCCCTTTCCTTCATAACTTCGGCTGTTCCAGCTTCTTCGCCAAAAACCGATCCCTTTTCTTCTTTAGCATTCCAGTCACGCCACCATCCTACGAAGCATTTTCGAAAAAACTGATTAGTAGCTCTGTAATTTTGCTATTTATAGTACTGCCAGTTGGTGTGTCAATTTGTATATGACTGATGTTTTTCGGCTTATCACCATCTGAATACGTCGCATGAGCTTGGCACCATTTGCATAGAACTACATTGCCTTTGCAATGTTTGCATGCGATTGTCATTCTATTGGCATATCACTCATTTGCATACGCAACTGTTTAAGACGTACAAACAGCATATTCATTCGCCAGTTTACATAGCTAAATTTAATTATTTGCATGTGTTTGAAGAATTCGCTTGAATAGTTATGTGGGATTACTTGGATGAGTGAAACCCATAATAAAGATCATTGGCGACGCGCACTGGGCGGGCCCATGCGATCACGCATTTTTGCAGTGTTTTGCGTTGCAAAAAGATCACTCGAAATTCCGCTACCTAGAAACCTCTTGTACATACTGGTCCTCAAATTCCGGGAAGTTAATTATCCACACTATACTTGAGCAGGGAACATTTTCTCGAAATCCCAGGTTACCAGCTTTCTCAGTTCCCGAATTACCCAAATTCCAGCCAGAAAATTTCATGGGGCCGTGCGGCAGTCACGCATATTGGGGGGCTGAATTTGATAAATTCAGATGAGTTGGAAACATTTCCTGAAAATTCCAGCCTTCCAGCTTTCCTGGTTCCCGAGCTAGCGATTTTCGCGCCAGGAACCCTCACGGGGCCGTACGCGGGAACCACGAACCCCCGGGGTCTGATTTTGAAATCTTTGATTTCTACTTGGACTGGAAATATAATCCCAAAATTTCAGCCTTCTAGCTTTTCTCTAGTTAGCGAA